CCTCTTATTTTGCCAACACGAGGGCGTTTAATTCCTGCCATAAATTCAAGTTGTGCTGATGCCTCTAGTGTGGCCAAACCGCGCAGATATAGTCTGGCCATTGTTTTTAAACGATAGTTCCTGTTTTATCTACATACGTAGATTCCCGGTGACTACAGTCATGCCTTCTCTGGTCCATTAACTGCGAGTCGGACATTGTGCGCAACACCCTTGTTTTTCTTAGCCCGTTCACGAGTAGTTTACTGATTTCTCATTTGCATTTCCCGCGTCCATTCTCATGTCTACCCCCTGTTTGTTAACCTGTGAGTTCACTGATGTTCATGCCAGCTGCTCTGCACTGTTCATAGCCGCGTTCTCCATCAACATTATACAAATTACTGCAATGGTCCTCGGTTGTTCCAATTCCTGCATCGGTTTGGTTTCAGACCTCACACCAGTCCATGCATATTCAATGGCGACCACAACCACAAGCAAATAAACTCAGATTCAACACAGGCAATATTAACTTATGTTTCAATATATTTAAGCTTAAACAAGTATATTGACAGACAATTAGCTACAACAGGATATGTAGCAGTCTCAAATTCAGCTTTTTATCTTTACTAATGTCAATAGCTAACTGGTTAGGCAACCAGCAGCTAGCAATGTTGACCTGATTAATGCGCCTCCATTTTCAATACTACTTCCGAGTTCAGTTTCTAGCATTGCACACAACTAGCGCATCGAGGCATAGGTACATGTTTTAAATTATTTCATAACTTTACTTGTTTATGTTTAAATAACCGTCCCTGATAGAACTGCTGAGGCAAGAAAAATCTAACAAGGGCCGGCTACCTTTCAATCTTTCCCGCCTCCTCCTACTTAATGTTGTTGTTGTTGTTGTTTTTTTCTCTTTTTATCTAAAAAGTACTTCCCGTGTATTACTAGCATTTTAAAACAACACGGAACGGATATGGGCTAAAAAGTGGACAAGAACAAGGTTTATAATTTTTTTGTTTGTAGTATTTGACGAAAGATGGTTATCTGTGCAATTCTTGAGTTTGTCTCAACTAGATTTCTGTAGGATTGAAGTCTGGATTACATGTATATATGGTGATTTTGTTTTCTTTTTCAAGTTAAATGTGGCCTTTTGAAGTTGAAAGTTCTCGTCCACAGTGCATTATCCTGTAGACCTTTCTGTCACTTTCTTACCCGCTGTGTTCATCAGCGTTAACGGGCACGTTGTGGTAGGAGCGTGACTCATCATGCTTGTCCAAGTCACAATATGGTACATCCCTCGTCATGATCACCTCCAGTCGATCAATCAACTCAGAGAAACTGGGACGAGAGGATGGATCTTCATTCCTGCACTCAGACATCAGTTCATATCTATCATGGATTAGAAGATGACAGAAAGTTAAATAGTTGCATTGCGGAACAAACCCAATCAATCTACAATATTTGCCAAAGCCAACTTGAAATATATCACAACGCTAAATCAGTCAACAACTCCTAATTTGTATTTAGAACTCCCCTAGACAGCAATGGTCAGGGTTTAAAATAAATCTTATGTAAACTTGGACGGACATAGTTCATATTACAGATCCTTTGCAGATATTTAATTTCAGCCACTGTATGTAAATAACATTGGTTGTTCGCATATCGGCGAAGTGTCCGCAGTTTAAAAACGACAACGTTTCTCAGATACGGTATTCGTAGCCTTCATGAATGGCTGGCCTCTACTTTTAGTAGCAGCATTACCGGTTGTTTTTATACGAAATAAATATAGATATATTCAAGCGAGCCACGTGCATTCCAATTTGTTAGTACCGGATAATTGCTTGTTTTCAAGTATCAGCCCTATTTCGAAAGAGGGACWACTGATCWCAACGCAATTCAGTTACTTACACTTCATCACAAAACATGTCAGGCCTTTTCATGCGATAACCAGTCTTCAAAAGTTGACACAGCTCTCGATTGGTTAACGTGGGATACGGCACTCCACCTGAAATGCATCCAAAAAAAACAACAAAAATAAGTCATAAGAAAGTAAGTAAACAGTGTCACATGAGGAAACTGACATGAATTCTCGCCTTAACATATGGAAGTAATAATTAATTTCGGAGAGAAAAAGAAAAAAGACTTGAATGGAAAATAAAAAAAATATATATTTTTTTAACTTACCCATGGTGGCCATTTCCCAAAGAAGTATTCCAAAGGACCAGCTATATGAAAATAATAATAAAAAAAGATCAATGAACGCTGTTTTGTAATTACCGTACATGTACTAAACACAACTAAGATTTTAAGGAGTTCTCTTTTTAGTCCATGTATTATAATGACAACCTGCCCCACGAGCAACTTCAACGCTTCTTTGCTGCTCTCCACACTTCCCGCAAATCATAACTCGATGATACACGCTAAATCCTCGAAAGAACAAGTTGTACTTCTTCATGTGTGCATCTGAGGGTTAAGGAAAAGGCTTTGCCGTCACACAGAAAGATTGACTAACACATCACTCTTGATGGTGTAAATGCTGTCATTAATTGATTCTGGGGCCATCCATTTCACAGGAAGCCTCTTTGTATTCTTTCCACTGTACACGTCCTCGTAGATTTCTCGCATCAACCCAAAGTCTGACACTTTGACTCGGTTATCACTGCCAACCAGAATATTACGAGCTGCAAGGTCACGATGAATGAAGCCTTTCTCTGCGAGATGATTCTAAAAAATTATGAGAGAATTACAAGAGCACAATAAATTATAGCAATAAAGATTATGATTCTTTTTTTGTTGTTTTTTGTGAATCACGTATTAAAACTTTGTTTGAAATTACCAATAAACAAGGCATGCAAGACCCATCTCAGTTTTAGATGATTTGTTTATAAAACCTTTCTTTTGGAGGCCGAGAGTCAAAACTAGAAAGTATTTTTTATACTTTATCTCATTTCGAATTAGCTATATTAATACCTACCATTCCTTTTGCTATTTGCCAAGCAAAAGAAAAGAGCTTTTAGGTAGTAAAGCTGTCTGCGTCTTCGTCGTTATCATCATCAATATATTCAGTTGATATCAATATGGCGGCAGCGTTGCTGTTGCCCTGTGATGTCGATGGCATCGACATCTGTTCCATGCTTTTCTGCTCCAGAAGATCGTTACAGTTACCTTCGCCAGGGTCGGCGTCATCATCATCAATATTTTCAGTTGGCATCAGTATAGCGGAAGCGTTGTCTTTTCCCTGTGATGTCGTTGGCATTAATAGCACCTCAATTTTTTCCTGGTTCAGAAAAGCATTATTGTTTCCTTCCTCTTTCTCGTCGTCATCATCATCAATATTTTCAGTCGATATGGATATGGTGGCAGCGTTGCTGTTTTCCTGTGATGTCGATGGTATCGGCATCAGTTCAATGATTTCCTGATCCAGTGAATCATTGCTGTTTTCCTGAATAAATAACGCAAGAAAAAGAAAAAAAAAAA